ATATTTATATATTATATCTCGTGTCGAGCACTATTTACAAAACGAAAGAGAAAGCAACAAATATTCTTTCAAGCTTCCAACACAAAGTCGAATTCTAATTAGTCACAAGAAGGAATTGACTGAACATGCTTTTTGCCCCCATCGACCGAAATGAGATAAATGGGGAAGCGGGCTGCTATGATCTCGTCAGTCCGGGATGATACACATGTGGAGTGAATAATATAACATTGATTAAGGTAGAGCTGGCAATTTCATAAAGCCAAATTCCCTACACAGGTACTGAAATTACATCTTGTGCGTCCAAGGCAGGGGTTGGTACTGACGTGGGACAACCACGAATAAAATTTACTGAGACGGCCGAAAATCAAAACGGTCTCCTTGTGCCTGGTTCTAGCCGGAAACCCAAAGCGCTGATAAATACAGTGTAGGTTAATTAAGAGAAGTTAATTACCAAACATTGGGGAAAGAACAACTGCACTTTAGTAACAGATATATATGGGTGTAGGCCAACCAATTGTAATCATTGCAAATGTTTTACGGCCCCATCAACACAATTTAGATCACATTGGAGGTGGGGAAAGGGTGTTTGCTCATGGGCAAGCTGTGATGCAGGCTGTTGAAACAATACTTGTACTGTGTTCGAGGCATGGGCTGAGCGCGACAGTGGAACTTCGTTTATCTGAAAGTGCGTGCGTGCGCATGTAAATTTGTAATTCGGGTAGGTGCATAGGTGTGTTTGAGTGCGCGTGCGCGAAAACGATGCTATTTCCTGTGACTTGTGAGTACACACATTGCCCGGCATGTCGTCACTGTCTCGGCTGAAGTCCAACCGGAAGCTGACGTTTGGCGTGTACTGTGGGAACTGAGCCTCGGTCTGACTCAAGTCAACAGCGTCGATCTCAAGCTGAGGCGAGAGGGGAGGGAATGGCATGAGCGTAATAGGATCCCGTCATAGCAACGTCACTGGGTAACACGGGCCCACAGAGGTTGGGGAAGGACAGAGAAACCCAACAAAACAACCCCCATCATAACAACATCAACAACAACAACAAAAAAACCCCCAAAAAATAAAACAACCACAATAACAAAACCATTGTTATTTTCGTTGCACAAAGAAGAAGACTTTTGGCAACGAATACGAGAGGTTATCTATTATTGTATCTATTATTAATCCAAATGTTAATTCTACGAGGGCATGCAATCAGAGCTCGCAAATAATGAGGGTGTTTTTAGAAATGCAATGCTTCTCATAAGAGAAAGAGAGCTGGTTTCATTACAAGTGTTGAAAGCTTGGTACTTGGTACAAGTTTGGAAGCGTAAGTAGTGCACCCTGCCATCTTTAACACGGGGAAATGACTCTTCTACCCCCAACTTTGTTGGGTTTTTTTTTCCATCACTTGTGGTATACCGTTCTGATCCACAGTCCAAGCCGAAAGAGCATACCATACAGAAAGGAAGGAATAAAGGTAGGCTAGCCGCAACATTTAAAGGTTATAGACTTAAACTGTTAATTTAATGGTAGTAGTTATGTCAACCAGCATTTCACACATGAGAAGAAGCATGGCTAGAAACACCCTGGTTGTAAAGCTATTCAACGAAAAAATCCCACGTTTTCTTCGCTCTTCGAGATGTCAATGCTAAATTCAAATCCGAGACTAGAGTTTCCCGAAGCTTGGACAAAACTGTGGTCTGCCATGGTCTGGCTGGTGTCTACAACCTCATCCTCAAGCTGGTGATAAGACAAGGTAATGTGATTTTTTTCACTGGTTCTCACTCTATACTTGTGTATACCACTCAGCGTCTAGACATAAGAAGCAGTTTGGAGCACGCACATGTGGTTTAAATCTCTTTAAAGACGTTGTGGACTCATACGTCCTACAGCAGATCTATCAAAGGCCATGATCTGGTATATTCAAATGATTATACACAAATCAGAAAAAAGCAACAAATTTGCATTAAAGAATAATGTGCGTGTTATTGTCTGTCTTTTTCGGTTTCAGGTAAAGAAAAAATGAATTAAACATTTGTATATATAATGAAGTTATAAGTGTCACAAAACAGCGTGTCTCCAAGCGTTGTCAAGAGTGGGTGTCCTTTAAGAGTTCAAGAGATTTTCAATTTGCAAGGTAAGTAAAGTCAAGAAAGGAGGGGGGGGG